ACCGGCTGCCGACCTCCAGATGGTGCCCCGACAACCCACTCCTGAGCGCGCGCGTTCCCCGACACCGGTCCGATCCCCAGCTCCAGCTGATAACAACCATGATATCGAACCGATTATGATATCCTCGGGCCCGCCAACGCCGATGGATCGATCTCCGGTTCACCGGTCTCCGCCTGACAATCCGATGCGTATCGACCCCGAGCTGGAAGACCTCCGTCCTACTCCACCCCCTTCTGTTGGCGACGCTCCCGAACGCACCACTCCAGACTCGTCTCCCCCTCCACGCCTCAACTTCTTACACACTCCCCGGCCTGCCGAGCGAGGGCCTTCTGAGGTTCCAGGTTCAGGTCACTCCCGCGCGATTACTCCTCGTCCGGTAGTAAACAACCCCCCGTTCGCGCCCACCCGCACCAACCCCTTCCCTGCCTCTCGCCACTTCCGTCGTAAGTGCATTCCTCGCTGATTTGTGATCCTTCCCCGCTTACGCCTCCTCTCTCAGTTCCTAACCCTAGATACCCGTCCGACTCAGACGACTCCGCCCTCCGGGAGCTCTTTCCCGACGAAGACGAAAGCGCGTTCGACGCTATCCCTGCGACCGTGGTCGAAGCCGTCATTGAAGACATCCAAGGCCGGTTCGAGACGATCCTCAGTGCCTCCGTTCTCCCTCCTGCACTCCGCCGCTCCACCTATGCGGCCTTCCTCTCCGACCTCCGCGACCTCCGCTGTGGAACTGCTGAACAACCAGAACAGAGCTTAGAGGGGAAATAGCAAACTACACTACTAGTAATGTAAGTTAAGCTATAAGTGCTGATGAGGCTGCCCTCTGAGACTAATGCTGAGGAGAGAGGGTTACACTAAGAAAATAAAGAAGAGGTGTGGCTAATTTCTATCTATTTCTTAGACTGCTATAACTGATGAGGTTGTTCCTTATCAACCTACAGGGGAAGAAGTGAGACTATGAGAGTTGTAAATAAAGCAGAGCTCTGAGGACACTGAGTGTAAAGGTATTTCTGGGGCAAGCACCTAAACAGGGCAAGGTCACTAAAGTGAGTTCTGAAAGTAAAAAAATAGATTTTATCTGAGGGGCACAATAATATCTGTAGGGGAGAAAATGCATAAGGGGTGTACAAAAATGATAAGAAGACTGTATATATACTTCAGGGTACAAATGAGCACAGGTTACAGTCAGTCTGGCTATGGGAGCACAATGTACAAATGTAGAACAAGAGATGTGAAGAGTAAACAATCAAAAGGGAGGATGAGTAAAGAAAAACAATCCCAAAAGATAAAGACTGTGAAAGAGTGTACTACTGTTATCCTGAAGGCATATGAGAAAGCATAATTGTAAGGAGTGTGTTTGAGAAAATATATGTAGTATGTAATGTGAAAAGAAGTACTTGTAAAGGAGTGTGGCTGATGTAATGTGAAGAGATATATGTAAGAAAATAATACTTGAGAAAAATATGATGTATGTGGTAACCTGTAAATATGTACTGTATGTAGTTAATGTGTAATGTAAATGTAAAGAATAATATCTGTAAAGCTAAAACTGCAAATAACTAAGGAACCAGTAAGAAATGAGATATGACTTGAGTGAGTGACTATAGGTAAAAAGGGGTGTAGAATCTGATTCTGTAGTAATATTATAACAATTCCCAGTGAATGTACAGTAAAATAATAGATGATATGGAAAGGTATGGGTTACCACACCGCCGCCACCGCCTTCAAGTCATGGCCGTCTTCAACCCTCGCTCAGCCAATTACCCCGACGGAAATGGCGACGATCCCGCTCCTGGTTCCGGCTCCTCCTAGTGTTTCCCTCCTTCCTCCCCGCTGCTCTCTTGTACATAGTCTAAGTAATTCTGCTTGAAATACAGTCTGTTATACTTGAGTTTGCGTGTCCAAAGGGCTACGCCAAAGAAGTCTTCCCCAAGTGCCTGGTCCGCCCCAGAAAGAGAACCA